CTATCAGAAGATTCAGAAGATTCCCACCCTTTATGAAGAATTTGGGAGATGTCGAGCTCTGAAGATCTCCAATTTATGGTGTCACGCTCCCTTAAGGCAGGGAGGACTCATAAGATGCATGTGGGGAAGTGCCGTGATTCGGATCCCGGCCCTTGACACACAATTAGGATTGCGATTCCAAATGTGTTGGAGCGACTGAAGAGATAAGGTGCGCTGGTCTCAATTCGCAAAACCCGCAGTGTTTCGTCCGTTGTTTCCTTTGGCCGACTTGCTGAGCCATCCCGCGACTCCTGCAATTCGATCGGCCCAGCCCCTGCGAAGGCTGACGCGCCTCTCGGCGGGCGCGCATCGACCCATCTCTTCCATGTGAACCGCCCGCTTCCTGAGACAGAGCTTCAATCATCTCCGGCGTCCGTCGAACTGGATCTCTGGACCCTCCCAAAATGGGTCCATGATCTCCTTAACTTTGGGTAATGACCCCATGTGTTGAGGGTCATGGAGACCAAAGGTAGGTGTTCGTTTGACATCGCAAGAGGTGACGCCCATCGAGAAAAGCACGACGGGGCATGAGGCAGCTAAAAATCACGGGCAGATGCCATGCGAATAGATCTGAGCAAATGAAAGTGCTCCGATCTCAAACGCGTTGGAGACCGAAAACCCAAGATTCTTGTCTTTGGGTCCGTTTCTCCTTTCAGGTTCTTCTCGTAACCCTGAGTTAAGCGGGAAACACATGTTGACGCGCTTTGCCAAGTCGGGAGAGGCGCGAATGCTCTCAGAACCCGCGAGTAGCACTGGGAATTTTTGGCTGGCTGGGGGCTTTGACCTTCGTGCCCAATTTTGAAGCCCGCAGACTTTCCGGCCAGTTTTTGTCCAGGGCTGAAACCCGCACCCCCGGCCAGCCGCGAGATGGGGTGACATGGACCCGCGACTTGACAACATACCCGGGCGCGCCGTCCGGGCCGGGCCGACGGGCAAATCCAAATCCAAGCCCCGTGTAAAGGCGTCCTGCACGGTCAGTTTTGGTAGAGAGATGACCTCTGCTCTCAAAAGGACCGTGGCGCAATTTTGGGTCTGATTAAATGCCACACATCCAAAGGGGAAGTTGGGAGCCAGGACCAAGGACTGGAGCCAAACGTCAGGTTTTTTTCTGCGGCTCCATACGCCTGCACAAGATGCCCAATAAAGGAACCAATTGTTTTTTTTCAACCTTCCAGAACCTCCAAGAGGTGTTTCCCCGAATTCCCCTCAAAGATCCGGAATGGTACCAACTCAAAAAGAAGGGAACCACAGCCACGGCTTTTCGCCTTGCATTGCCCGTAGAATCGGCGTGGCCCGGCTGTTCTCATTGCGTCCATTCGAATTCGTGGCTCAACGAGTCAGTTGCCACAGGAGCTAATCCGTCAGGTGGGTATGGGTCAAAATCAAAGCACCAGGCGACCGCAGGTTTTAGTCTTTGTTTCCATTTACCAGGGTTTTATAGGGTTGCCAAACCGGGTACTTGTTTTTGACCCACAGCCAGGTGTTTCTTCGAGAGGACTGCACTGAACCCGGAAGCTGGAAAGCAAGTCGATGTCCTGAGAGGCTTCCTGCACTTGAACCTCCCCTTTTCTTTCAACCAACATGGTTCTTCATGTTGCGCGTGGAAACCTCCCTCATAGTTGTTGAAGCCCGTGACTTCTTGGGTTGGAGAGCATGTGCTCGCAAAAGAGATACCTCGCTTTGAGGGTGTTAGGGTCCGTTGGTGAGGCAGCGTGCTAGTAGTGTCGTTTGTGGTTCCCTTTCCAACTGGCCCCTACCCTTCCCTACCCTTCCCTCCCCTCCCTTCCCTTGTGTCCTTCCTTTGTTCCGTCCTTGGGCTTTCCTTCGGATTCTGAGCCCAGCAACAGGTTTTCTCCCCAGGTCGGGCATTGCCTGTTTGCTCCGCGATTCAATCTGTGGCCTCTGACGATGCCATTTGCTGCCTGAGAGCCTGAGGAATTTTGGTGTAGTCCTTCCAGCTAGGGTCGGGTCGTGCCATCGCGGTGGCGCCTCGTTGCACGCACGCCGCGCAGCGACCCTTGCAACTGCCGTCTGGGTTGCACGAACAGGGGCTCAGGCCGGGTAGGGCAATACAGCCAAGAGTTTGCACTGGACCAAGTCGTTAACCCGGTGAGTGTTCAACCGCCTGCCTGAGCCTGTCAACCACAATTGCTGCATAGATGGGCCCGACCCTCAGACCCTTCGACTGGAGAAACCGCGCGATCTCCCGCGCGTCAGACGGTCGCGCCGAACGCGACGCGACCCGGGGGAACGCATCGAGCCACGCATTGAGCAAGCGAGAGAGAAGTTTAGTCCAGTTGTGGTGACTTGGCTGTGGGTCAAAACCAATGGTATCCCATTTTGGGGTAGGTGCACCACCCATTTTAGTCTATAGTGGGGATTGGGATGTTCACTGGGGGTACGATTTGGATTTTGACCCATGGCCACTTGTTCAGTTCCGTTTTGCGGGGGAAGACTAGAAAAAGGAGTCGGGACCCCCCCCCATTGAGGCGCCTTACATTGGATGAGCAGAGTGAAGGAAACATGTGTTCTCACCTGCAAAAATGGCCGGTCTCGCATGTGTGTGTGTGTGTGTGGCTTTTTCTTTGCAAATATCACAGAGCTCTTGATATGGTTGATACGATGAACTTGTGCAGGCTAGCAGGTCGGGTACCCTTTTGTCAGGTTGGTGGTTTGAACTGGTGGCTTGAAAGGTGGGAAAAAGTGTTGCCCACAAAACCAGGCTCCAAACTTGGGAATCAAGCTGATTTTCGGGCGGCGCAGAAGGAAAACGCCAGCGAGTTGCCAGATTCCTTTGGATTCAGTCACCAGTTCTAGGCAAAGGTCATCATGTGGCCCTCATACGCATGTGTCCCCTTTTCAATGGTAGTTTGCTGCTTCTTGGTTTCTCTTGAAGCCAACCCCCTTGAAAAAAGAGGACACCCACACAAACGAGAGACCCATTCGCATGCTGGTCTCTCTTTGGCTTCTTTTCCTGGGTCGTGCCAGACCCGACATCGTGCTCAAGAGGCTCTCCCGTTTCCCATGGCCCTTGCAGAGGTTTTTGTTTATTGGTCTCAAGTTTCAGTGTCCGGAGGCTCGCAGGGCGCGCCAGCCAGATTTTCCAGCAGAGATAGCCAGAAACGCCCGTAGTGCTTCCAGTTGCTGAAATGAATATGCTTCCTTTTCCCCTGTTGGTTTCAAAGTGAATTTATCACTACTGTACATATGGTTTATTTTCCAGTGGACGTATCTTCGGAGCCCGGACAGAGGAATCCCTTAGAATTCCTGACTAAAGCCCCAAGTATAGCCCTCCGGGTTAATCCGAGCATCAACATCAGGGACTTACTTGAAGCTTCTGTTTGAACATCCCAAATGGGTCTCTTTTTCTATCAGCGGGCACTCAAGTCTTGCGATGCTTCTCAGGTGTGTCCGGGCCCCACGCTCTCTCAAAAAGCAGAGTGCCCGCCCCATTGTCCTGATCAGTTTAATACAAAGGCCATATTGTCTACTGCTTTCAAGCTTTATCAATCCGGGCGACTTGAGCGACTGCAAACAAATATGAGGGTTCAGCATTAGATTCAAGCCACAGAACCAGCCCAAATCCCGGAGGCATTTGATGATGCCCACCTCCTTACCCACATTACTCCATACATTGCACACCATTTTTCTTTTGTGGGGATGGCGAGACCATACCGGGCTCCCCCATCCCCCTGAAGGTGGGGCAATTGATGCTTGTGCAGCCAGAAGCATCAACTCATACAGAACCACCAGCGCACAGCTTTGAGCCTCTGGAAAAATCCAGTTTTAGCCATCAAAGCCTCTTCCAATCGCCACAAACAGAATTCCGTCAAGGCTTTCAGCGGAAAAAGGTGCCACACTTTCTCCGGAACGTTGTGCTTGGTTTTGAGATGGCTGCGCGTTTTTGTTTGAGGGCACCCTTTTCACTTCGGTTCAAAGGAAGCCAAACTGGGAAACTTTTTTTTTTGGGGGGGTCTCCCCATTGTTTGACACACAAACGAGTTTCTCACTTTCTGAAAGCATGAAGTATTGTTGCTCAATTGAGTTTGCGTTGCTCCTATATTGACATATATACCCATACTTGTTTGTTTGATGGGTTCTTAGGATGTTTCCTACCCCAACGGCAAGTAGCTGAGGGCAACCCGATAGTTGACTTGCAAAGTCAGCGAGTTCCCTCACTCAGGTGCGAATGTTCCATATTTTGTGCGTCCTTTGAGATGACCAGCGTCCTGTAGGATATGGCGAGATGAGCTTCTCTTTAAGGGTGGCTGTCTGCAGAGCTTCCTGCATGGCTACCATGGCGCGATTTGGTTCTATGCCAGCCAGCAGGGCGCTTTTGACACTGTATGGGTTGCTTTAAAGCGATACCAAAGGCAATTGTCCAATGCGCGGGGTTGAGACGAACCCATGTAGAAATTGAAAGATCAATTTGCGACCGGATGAATTAGCCGATTAATAGGAGAGGTGCAACTTTTCTAAAGTGATCCAATTCCCCTCTAGAATGGGTTTATATCCCATCAGCAACAGAGGCTTATTCCTGGGTTCTGATTGTTTCAGGTTCTCACAGTTCACTTCGTTTTTCGCGCCGACTGGTTCTGCCGCATGGCCTGAACCATGGAAGTTATAAACTGCAAAAAGACCCACCACACAGGTGTCCTTGTTTGTTTCCTCTTTGAGAGTGACCAAGCATATTCCCATTCAATGACCATTTGATGGTTCCAACCCAAATGTGGTGCAATGCTTGGGTGACATGTGGACAAGTCCCAAATGAAGACGAATGCGAGGACAAGAAGTAGCTTGGACTAATTCGTGCATGTCGTGTGTGTGTTTGCGTGTGTGTGTGTGTGTGTGTCTTAAAACGGAGCACCACAAAACAGACTGGGCTTGGGTTTTCCCTTTTGCATCCCGAAGAAAACCTTCCACGTCAAGAGGTGAATCCGAGAAACGACAGACCCAAAAGAGGCGCCCAGGCAGCATATCACGTGCAATTCGCATGTGTTCGCGCATGGCGAGCGCTGATGCCGGAGCCCCGGCTGATCGAGCGAAGTGTCAGATGATCAGTTCAGGTAGGGGGATTTGTTCCCATGAAAAGCATATCTCCAAATGGCCGGTGTCCTTATTTCATGGTCGTATTTCTGAGGGCAGCTTTGACCGTCAGGCCGGTTCCTTTTTACTTGAGGTGTGAACTGGAAAAGCACGCCCTGGTTTCCTGAAAAGCGACCCAATGGAACTCCAAAGCCACAGGCTGGCACCAAAGAAGGGTTTCTAGCTTCCATTTGCTTGCGATTGTCAGTTGCTCCATTTGCTGTCAAGCGTCCTTTTAATCGGCGATGCCCGAAGCAAGAACAGAAATCTTTGCCATCCCCCCCCCCCCCAAACAGGTCATTTCCTTTTTGCTGACTGAACTGGAGCGGCGTTTTGTTGCTCTGTTTTTTCTTTTTTTTTTGGGGGGGGAGGGTTCAAGCCAAGCAGGCACATGACTCAACTCACCTGGAAACCCCGGCCTCGTCCCTTTCAACCAGCGAACAGCTCCGCTTTTTGCCGCGCCTCGGAGCACAAAACGCCAAATCCCCACGCCCCGCGCAGGCGGCTCTGGCTGGGCCTGCCGGTGGCCTCAGCGCTGCCACGCCGCTCAGAAAGAAATAACACGAAGACGGAGGCTGAGTGGACCGAGGGTTCCCTTTGACCCAAGACCCACAAGACCCACACCCAGAAGACCCAGGCTCCCTTTGAAGCACTTCCCAAGCCCCACAAGTTTCATTGGAGCCCTGTTTGCCTTTGAAGGAGAACAGCTTGGCAACAAGGTGCCCCTCATGAGAGCCCATTAAGCCACTGGGTGATTGAAGGGGGAGCCCTTCCTATTGCACCAGGTTGATTAATCCGGGGTGGTATTTCGAGGGAAGCCCCTTAGAGGATTAAAAAAAGGAAACACCAAAGGAAAGTCAACGTCCATGTGTCGAAAGCAGTGTGTTCGAGGGGGTGCTGAAAATCAATCCCATTTGCCATCAAAAGACCCACTTTCTGGTGGTCACCAATGTTCAAATCACTCTGGGCCCTGGTCAGAAGCCCCAAAGAAAACAGCGGGACACAAGGCAGCCATGACAACATGAACCCACTGGAGGCGCCCACCTCTGCGTCTTCATTCCCATCAGCGAGCGCAGTCGCAAGGCTGGCCGCTGCATGACCACTTGCCGGGGGGTCTTGGCTTTAAAGTCGACTTGGGCTTGGGGATCTTCATGACCCACTTCGCAAAATAGGTTCCAGCCCTAAAAGCCGTAACTGACAGAATGTAGTGGAACACAACTTTTGACACTCACAATGCATTTCGGGAGGTATCCATGTGATATCCGTATGTCCATACGTGGTTGCATTTACGTGCACATGGGGTACATGTTCGTCCCTTCCACACGCCAAGCCTAAACTCGGTTGGTTGGGGTGCGGGGTTGGTTGCGGGGTTGGAGCGGGGGTTGGGTGGGGTGGGGTTGGGGGCTGGTTGGGTGTGGGGGCGTTGGGGGGCTGCGGCTGAAATGGGGGTTGGTTGGGTGTGGGGGCGTTGGGGGCTGTGGCTGAAATGGGGGTTGGTTGGGGCTTGTGGTGGTTGGGTGTGGTTTGGGGCGCTTGGGGGCTGGGGGGTTGGGGTGGCTGGTTGGGGGGTGGGGCTGGTGGGGTGTGGTTGGGGCGGGGGGGGTTGGTTCTCGTTTCCAGGATGGGGCGCTCTCACTCGCAGCGCTGGGCACCTGGGCACAAGAGCAGCTGCAGCGGGACGCAGGCGGTTTTTTCCCCGGAACTCAGCGGATCGAAAGCTTCCAATGCGGGGCCGGTGATTTCTTTGGCTTTTTTTTTGGTGACCGGGAAATCAACCAGTCCGGCAAGTTCCAAAACAGGTTGGCTCAAATGGTGTTTACACCCTGCAACCCTGCTGGAGATGCCGTGGACACCCTGCGGATTTCATCTAATCGTGCTCCGGGGAGCTTCGGCATGGCCCGGCGGAAGGCCGCTCTGTTGCGAAAGCGATTGGGGCCGCCGTGATTTTGTCCTCATGGTGGCCGTTTGTTGGGCTGCGCCACATCACATGTGCCACATCACATCCAGGCGGTTCTTCCTCTTTCCATTTGATCCGTTTGGAAGTCGTGGATAGCAAGGGGACATCAGGGCACATTGCTGGCGCTGAAGCCCTTTGTGACAACGGTTCTTGTCTGAAGATGGCTTGGACACGCCTCACCACGGAGAGGGCCAAGAGTTGAGTCTCTGCCATAGGCCGCAGGTCCATGACAGGTCGATGCGACACAGATGGACCCAGCAATTCCATCCCCTGCAAATCAACATGGCACCAACACAAAGAGGTTCCCCCAAAGGAGATTCCCCGAAAAATAGTCTGGTTTTTCAGGTGTCCATGTCAATCTGCAGTGTGATTGTGAGTTCTGGAGGAACAGTTTGGTCCAGTGGCTGCAAGACTGACCCTTAAGTTTGCATAGATGTTTTTCATACAGAACCCAAGGATTGAGTTGCTGCTTTTCACCAGCAGAATCCACATGTAAGGCCATAATGCCTCCTACAGGACTTATCCTTCCCACTCACAATTGAATGTATCCTGGATTAATTCAGGCCATTTCTTTTGATGCCACATGCTCGGGAGGCCATTGGGTCAGTCTTTTCGAGTCTCAGTACTCTAGTTGGTTTTACGGGGAACCCAACGGGGAGCTACCCGTTGTCGGGGCTCCGTTTGAGACACCCATTTGAGCCTCTCAAAATCGTCCGACTGGGAGACCCTCCGACTGCTAGCGCCAAGCGCCAGGCGCCAAGGTGCGCTTCGTGAGCGTCGGAAGCACTGCAGGGACCGCGGAACCCAACGGGGGGGGGGCTCACGCTGGGCTTCTACTTGGATGCCCCCCCCCGGCTTGTAAAAGAGGCCGGCAATCTGGTGCGTACCAGGGTTGATTTTACTCTGGGGGGCTTCGAGTTTTAGAGTTCCAGATCACTTTGCAGTTGCTCTATCAATCCATTGATGCCACAGTCGACATCGGGGAAGTGTGGCTGCTTTTTCCCAGGTGCGAAAGATGCAGTGGACATCTTCATCATCAACATCATCATCATCATCATCATCATCATCATCATCATCATCCTCATCCTCATCATCATCATCATCATCATCACCATCATCCTCATCATCCTCATCATCCTCATCCTCATCATCCTCATCATCATCATCATCATCATCATCATCATCATCATCATCATCATCATCATCATCATCATCATCATCATCATCTGGTTTAATCATTATGATTAAGACAACGCATTGAGTTTCTGGTGCATAAAAAGTATCAAACCCCATGACCCCATGGTTTTATACATATTATATATATATATATAAAATCCCATTGCAAATCCACAAGATGGCAACGCGCAGGAGCCCCTTGGAGCCGTACACGCTGCACGTGCCCGGCGATGAGGAAGTGGGGTACAAGCGCTTGCCCGTGCGCGCAGGGAAGCCTGGAAGCCTGGAGTCGGACAGGTCAAATCATGGACCCGGAGGGCGAACTGGGGAAGGGGGGATGTAGCTCCCTTATTACCCACTGGGGGGGCAAGATGAAGGGCCCAAGATGAAGGGTATTACATAAGGCCTGAAGGGCGTGTCAATTCATCGAAACACAGACTTCAGAATGGGCTTGATCAATCCGTTCGGCCCTCCAGAGGCCCAATGACCATGTAACTTTTCCCGTGTGGGAAGTATCACCGTTTTAGTCATGTAAAGAACCACATGTGGGTGTGTGCTTTGTTCAGGGGACCCCCCCAAATGTTGGTGGTCCTATTGTTTTCCGTAAGAAGAAGACACCCTCGGAGAGGAGGCAGGCTACAAATCCCCAGAACTAAGTAGAACCTCTCCTATTGGGGGGGCTGTTGCCTCCAGTGGTCTGAATTTCAAGAGGGACACCTCCCAATCAAACTCAACCAGGGCTTTCTTAGTCCGAGGTTGACATTACACCCGGAGAACAGCGGATTTTGACCGCCCCTATGTGTCTTTTTGAGCCACCCTGTTTGGGGCTGTGGGCCTGTGTGGAAAAGCCATGGACGAAGTCGTGTAATGAAAGCAATCAAAGCAATCAGCCGAATTGTGGTCTGCCAATTTCGGAATGAAGCTTCCTTGGGCCGTTTTCTGACTTTGGACAGGGACGAAAAGTGATTTCTTGGACTTTAGTACCCGTGACCAGTTGAGGCCCTCCAAGCCATGTTTGGAGTCCTCAGAAAGCATGTTTTGAAGGTTGACGAAATATGAAAGAGTGCCTCAACCCTACCTTTCTTTCTTTTTTTTGGGAAGGGTTCCCCTCTAAACTCAACAAAAAAAGGGTGCCCTTCTTAATCCATGGCCACTGGGCATTTGAGGAAGGTATAGTGGTCGGTCTACCCTAAACTTGGGCCAAGATGGTGCATGGGAGCCGACAGTAGGGGCGCATACCATCCAGTTGCGCGCCAAAGACTCGCCAAGTGCCCACAGAGCCTTTTCTACAGGAGTCCTGTGGTTTCTGTTGAAGCCATCGCATTGCGGGGCTTAGGGGAACTTCCAATTTGGTTCGTCGCCCCAAATGAGCGCTGGGAGTTCTTTTTGGTGTCCCTTGCCGGTTGATGTAGCCTTACCCTGGAGAAACCCAAAGGTTTGCCACTCTGAAACGGGGGAGCCACAATCAAAACCCGGGTAGATGAATGTTAGCAAGGGACAATCCCAACCATAAATAAGTGCGGATATCCGCCTTCTTAATTCTTGAAGCATGGTTCTGGGTCGAGCATTTGAATAGCCGGGTTTTGATTATGACTCAATCGGGATTGGTGGTGTATCAAGCCATGTATCAAACCAGTATTCATAGGGTGTCATCCTTCCCAATACTCAGGGAACCCTCTTCGGCCAAATCGGCGGCTCGCCAGATCTTGAAGATCTGGCACTACCTGGGCCAAGAGGATGACTGCGACTGGGTCATGAAGGCGTGATCAAGTTCCCCGAGGCCTTGACGCCAAACTGCAAACCGCAGAAGGGTCTCAAAAAGCACCCGCGAATCTCTGGGAACTTCCCCCAGCGATGTTGGAAACTGTTTCTGCCAGACCCTAGCACCCGGTCGTTGGACTCGCCTTCGGAACCTGTCTGTTTAGCTCCCGAGGTCCGCCGGACCCACCTCAAAGGGTTTTTCGGTGGATCAATTCCAATCACTTGGAAGAGAATCAGTACATGCCGCTAAAAGTCTAAGGTTTAGCAAGGGTTAAACGAACCCCTAAGATACACACACGCACACAAACGTATACAGAATATATATCTACATATGCATATATATATATATATATATATTATACCTGAAACGACATGTTTGCAGTGAAAAAGCGTGTTTTCGACCAACGGACTGAAAATTTGTGCTTGTCCAAAAAACGGCGCGGGACAAATGCACACCTGAAGATTCAGGTGTACAAGTCTGGCACTCCCTGCACTACTCAGGCTTTGGCTCGTGCATTTGTGCTTAGTAGTGATCCGTTTTGCTTCGATTCAATCTCAGAATCAAAGGGAATGCAGATAACGCATTGCTTCATAGCAACAGGGAAGCCCCTCAGTACTGTTCTCCGGAGTCCGAAGTTGAAATTACTTGGTTCCCAGTTGTGTCCTGCCCTTGAAGTGGCCACTGTGTTGGGCACTGGCAAAGTGACAGTACTTCTTTTTCCATGGCTGGGTTCAACTGAGTTGACATAGGCTTTGTCTCACAGTGGACATCCGCACCGAAAAAGCTGGTGATGTTGCGTTGTCTCTTTTAAACAAGCAAAATACATGTATCAAAAAAGAAATGCCATGGATCAAATCTCACGGATCGCGAACAGTGGAGCTTCCCAAAAAGGGGGCGGGGGGGCAATGGCCCCAAGGTTTGAGCCTTTGTTATCCGCTGTGTTTCTCTTTCATGGGCCGGAAGCTCAAGCAGGTCGAATGTTGGCTGCTCCAGTCTGGCTGTATGTGAATATGGGCACGTATGAATATTATATATGTATACATTATATTGTATATGTGTATATATATATATGCTGTGTGTCGGACAGTGACGTGCAGAGGCAGACTCGGACACCTATGTGAACCTGCCCCTCGGCAAGGTTGCTCATGGGAGAGGGGAGGGGACTGGTATTGAAAGCCATGAGGCTCTCGTGTTTCCTTGCATGGCCTTCTTTTTCTTTTCCTTTTTTCTGAGGGTACCCCTTGTTTCGTGACCGTAAAGAAACACAAAAGTAAAAGGGGGTCCGACCTTAAGAGACATCTCCTCGGTTGCCAGTTTACAAGTTTCATTTTTGCGAGGGTGCTGCTTGGAAAGATATAGGGAAAGCTGCAGGCTGCGGGGGGAAGCCAGCTGTCCCAAGAAGCGGTTTATCCTTGGCCTGAGAAAAGCTCATGTGTGTTGACGGACGTACGGGATATATTGATTTGAAGTGAAGGTTGGAGAGATGGAAGGGGTGTGATAGCCAAGGCTTCACAGTTTTCTTCGGGGAAAGCAGAGATCACTTATCTCCTGACTGATCTGCGCAAATTGCATCGAGCTCGCAAAGGGGTAACACGAGCTCACATGATGGTTCCTTGTTGAGCCGCGAAGCTTTCGCCCATCTTACCCAATACTCGTCTCATCTTACCCATTGCCGCCATGAATGCATTGAGCCGCAGTGTGTTGCGCTTGTGCCTTCAAGTACCGCTGCTTGCCGTGGCACAGTCCGAGACTGAGCAGTGCGAGGGCGCGGGCAAGGCGGCAAGTGCAGTGCTGCTTCAAGCGGCCGCCAACCGCACGCAGCCAGTCTCAGAACGCATCGAGCAGGACTTGGAGGACATCGAGGACTCCCTGGTGGAGAGAGCCCGCGCCCGCGGGGACTCTGAACTGGAGCTGGAAGATGCGGTCCAGGGCAAGAACTCAAGACGCCGTCGCAGCCGACGGCGCACAACCACCACGACAACCACGGTGAACTGTGGGTCCAGCATGGACTCCTACTCCATCGCGTTTACGATTTACGGGGGCAGCTGCCTCGAGGGTCTCAACACTGGAGGCACATCGACTTTGGACACCGCCAGCTGCAACACAAACTCCAACAACCGGGACCAGTTCCTCTTTGTTGATCAGGGAAATGGGTACTGCAAGCTCCAGTCTAAGTACGGCACCCGTCGCCGCAGCGTCCAAGGAAAGGCGGTGACCTGTGGAACGAGCTCAATGTCTGTGGCTTACTGCAAGGCCCTCGGGAGCCAGAGCTACACCAAATTGAAGCTTCAAGATGAAGGCAACAACAAGTTCTCCATGTGGTGGTATGACAGCTCAGGAAACAGCCGACAGGCCAAGAGGTCTGCTGGCGGGATCATCCTGGCAGACTATAGCAGCGGTGATGAGCCTGATTTCAAGATCTACAAGAACACGGTCTACAGCAACACTTGCCTTCTGAGCAAGAATGATCTTGGTCTCACTTGCTGGAAGTGACAACAAGATCGCTTCCTTTGCACAGCTTCCCGTATATCGTGAGACATCCAATCTACAGACTCAGTGGCCTGTGTAGTGGGCGTGCAATGAAAAGCAGCGACCCAAGTATCCTTGTCGCGCCGCTCAATGTGAGGGGACTGCAATTGCCAACGGCGGGGATGGCCGGACACTCTTTTAGATCGCTTCCTTCATTTGTGACATGTGGTCCACGGGGGTTCTGCAGTTTTGTTTCGAAGTGTGTGACGTGTTTCAGACGGTGCAGGTTGGAAAGCCTTGCCACGATGCTCTTCAAGAGCCTTGTTTGCTTGGTTTCGATTTAATCAATTTGGGGGGGGGGCGACAACTTGGGGCAAAGGGAACGCCACTCGCCCCAAGGCTTCCATACTTCTTGGAGACCACAATGGTTCTCGAAATTGTGCCTCGCAGGCTGATTTTGACACACCTTGCGGTGGATGCTGTTTAAAGGGGAACCCTTAAGGACCCTTAACCTGGTGTCTCCACGGCTTTTGTTGGACCTAAGGGGGCCAACCCCAAACTGACCACAGGAGATCTAGGGACCCCAGGAAAGCTCACTTATTGACGGGGGATATGGGATTAATTGATTTCGAGGGAGGGTTGGAGAGATGGGAGGAGTGTGATAGCCAAGGTTTTACAGTTTTCTTGGGGGAAAGCAGAGATCACTTATCTCCTGACTGATCCGCACAGATTGTATCGAGCTCACATGAGCTCACACAGGGGTAAAACGAGCTCACCCGCGATGGTTCCTTGTTGAGCCGCGAAGCTTTCGCCCATCTTACCCAATACTCGTCCCATTTTACCCATTGCCGCCATGAATGCATTGAGCCGCAGTGTGTTGCGCTTGTGCCTTCAAGTCGCGCTGCTTGCCGTGGCACAGTCCGAGACTGAGCAGTGCGAGGGCGCGGGCAAGGCGGCAAGTGCAGTGCTGCTTCAAGCGGCCGCCAACCGCACGCAGCCAGTCTCAGAACGCATCGAGCAGGACTTGGAGGACATCGAGGACTCCCTGGTGGAGAGAGCCCGCGCCCGCGGGGACTCTGAACTGGAGCTGGAAGATGCGGTCCAGGGCAAGAACTCAAGACGCCGTCGCAGCCGACGGCGCACAACCACCACGACAACCACGGTGAACTGTGGGTCCAGCATGGACTCCTACTCCATCGCGTTTACGATTTACGGGGGCAGCTGCCTCGAGGGTCTCAACACTGGAGGCACATCGACTTTGGACACCGCCAGCTGTAATACAAACTCCAACAACCGGGACCAGTTCCTCTTTGTTGATCAGGGAAATGGGTACTGCAAGCTCCAGTCTAAGTACGGCACCCGTCGCCGCAGCGTCCAAGGAAAGGCGGTAACCTGTGGAACGAGCTCAATGTCTGTGGCTTACTGCAAGGCCCTCGGGAGCCAGAGCTACACCAAATTGAAGCTTCAAGATGAAGGCAACAACAAGTTCTCCATGTGGTGGTATGACAGCTCAGGAAACAGCCGACAGGCCAAGAGGTCTGCTGGCGGGATCATCCTGGCAGACTATAGCAGCGGTGATGAGCCTGATTTCAAGATCTACAAGAACACGGTCTACAGCAACACTTGCCTTCTGAGCAAGAATGATCTTGGTCTCACTTGCTGGAAGTGAGAACAAGATCGCTTCCTTTGCACAGCTTCCCGTATATCGTGAGACATCCAATCTACAGACTCAGTGGCCTGTGTAGTGGGCGTGCAATGAAAAGCAGCGACCCAAGCATCCTTGTCGCGCCGCTCAATGTGAGGGGAACTGCAATTGCCCACGGCGGGGATGGCCGGACACTCTTTTAGATCGCTTCCCTCATTTGTGACATGTGGTCCACGGGGGTTCTGCAGTTTTGTTTCGAAGTGTGTGACGTGTTTCAGGCGGTGCATGTTGGAAAGCCTTGCCACGATGCTCTTCAAGAGCCTTGTTTGCTTGGTTTCGATTTAATCAATTTGGGGGGGGGGGGGCGACAACTTGGGGCAAAGGGAACGCCACTCGCCCCGAGGCTTCCATACTTTTTGCACCCAAAATATATATATATATATATTTTTTCTGAGGAGACCACAATGGTTCTCGAAATTGTCCCTCGCAGACTGATTTTGACACACCTTGCGGTGGATGCTGTTTAAAGGGGAACCCTTAAGGACCCTTAACCTGGTGTCTCCACGGTTTTTGTTGGACCTAAGGGGGCCAACCCCAAACCGACCATGGGAGATCTAGGGACCCCAGGAAAGTCACTTATTGACAGGAGATATGGGATTTAGTGATTTCGAGGGAGGGTTGGAGAAATGGGAGGAGTGTGATAGCCAAGGCTTCACAGTTTTTTTTTCCGGAAAGCACCGATCACTTTTGTTTGACTGATCTGCACAAATTGTATTGAGCTCACACAGGGGTAAAACGAGCTCACCCGCGATGGTTCCTTGTTGAGCCGCGAAGCTTTCGCCCATCTTACCCAATACTCGTCTCATTTTACCCATTGCCGCCATGAATGCATTGAGCCGCAGTGTGTTGCGCTTGTGCCTTCAAGTCGCGCTGCTTTCCGTAGCACAGTCCGAGACTGAGCAGTGCGAGGGCGCGGACAAGGCAGCAAGTGCAGTGCTGCTTCAAGCGGCCGCCAACCGCACGCAGCCAGTCTCAGATCGCATCGAGCAGGACTTGGAGGACATTGAGGACTCCCTGGTGGAGAGAGCCCGCGCCCGCGGGGACTCTGAACTGGAGCTGGAAGATGCGGTCCAGGGCAAGAACTCAAGACGCCGTCGCAGCCGACGGCGCACAACCACCACGACAACCACGGTGAACTGTGGGTCCAGCATGGACTCCTACTCCATCGCGTTTACGATTTACGGGGGCAGCTGCCTCGAGGGTCTCAACACTGGAGGCACATCGACTTTGGACACCGCCAGCTGCAACACAAACTCCAACAACCGGGACCAGTTCCTCTTTGTTGATCAGGGAGATGGGTACTGCAAGCTCCAGTCTAAGTACGGCACCCGTCGCCGCAGCGTCCAAGGAAAGTCGGTGACCTGTGGAACGAGCTCAATGTCTGTGGCTTACTGCAAGGCCTTCGGGAGCCAGAGCTACACCAAATTGAAGCTTCAAGATGAAGGCAACAACAAGTTCTCCATGTGGTGGTATGACAGCTCAGGAAACAGCCGACAGGCCAGGAGGTCTGCTGGCGGGATCATCCTGGCAGACTATAGCAGCGGTGATGAGCCTGATTTCAAGGTCTACAAGAACACGGTCTACAGCAACACCTGCCTTCTGAGCAAGAGTGATCTTGGTCTCACTTGCTGGAAGTGACAACAAGATCGCTTCCTTTGCACAGCTTCCCGTATATCGTGAAACATCCAATCTACAGACTCAGTGGCCTGTGTAGTGGGCGTGCAATGAAAAGCAGCGACCCAAGCATCCTTGTCGCGCCGCTCAATGTGAGGGGAACTGCAATTGCCAATGACGGGGATGGCTGGACGCTCTTTTGGATCCTCTTTTTGCGATTTGCAGTTTTGTTTTGAAGTTTGTGACTTGTTGCCATGTTTGTAAGCCTTGCCACGATGCTCGTAAAAAGCCTTGTTTGCTGGGTAACGTTTTAATTTGCTGGGCGTTGACAACTTGA